CGACCCATCGCCTCGGCCAGACACGCTGCGGCCCGCGCAACCGCGATCGTCGTCGAGCACGTCGTCGTCGTCGTCGTCATCGTCGTCGTCGTCGTCTGCGTCTGCGACGCTGCGACCAATTCCAGTCGCCACGGGCAGCGAAGAGCGGAGGGGAAGAAGGAAAGCGAGGGGGAAGGAGGCTCTTTCCCTAAACAGCTTGTCTGTAGGGGTTATACGTGATTCTTCCAAGAATCTAATCCGCGCGCTGCCGGATGCAGCATCGGGCGGGCGGCGTTGCCTCCCATTGCCTCCCACTGCCTCCCGTTGACTCCCGTTGCCTCTCGCGGTCTCCCGTGGCCTCCCGATGCCTCCCGTGACCTCCCGTGGCCTCACATGGCCTCCTGTTGCCTACTGTGGCCTCCCGTTGCCTCCCAATGCCTCCTGCTGCCTCCCGTTGTCTCCCAATGGCCTCCCATTGCGGTCCCTATCCCTATCCCACTTTCACTATCCCTATCCCTTGTTTTCCCTTTCCCTATCCCATATGCCTATCCTCATACATGTCCCCATCCCCATCCCCATCCCAATGATCCCTATCCCTGTACCCCTATCCCTATATCCCTAGCCCTATATCCCTATCCCTACCCCTTATACCGATCCCTATCCCGATCCCCCCATCGTGGCTCCCCATCCTGTTCGTAGCCCCCGTCGCAACTGTGTAAAATTGATGGGGGAGCGCTGCCACAAGGGTTCCATTTTCCTCTCCTCGATCCACCATGGGGAGGGTCGCGATCAGCATGACCTTGTCCTCTGGCAGCTCGACCCTCGGGTGGGGAAGAGGCAACAGATACAAGTGCTAGATCACAAGTCTAGCAGGTCAACCAACCCAACGCACAGGCTCTGACGGGCTCGCGGATCTGGGCGTGGCGCCGGCACGGCAAAACTTGCACTGCGAAAAGCAGCAGCGCATCACTTTGCGAGGTAGCGATACCTGGAGCAAGAGAGGCATCTCAGTCCACCCACTTAGTCAAGTAGTTGCTCGCCTTCAGTGCCGCAGACACCTGCGCCGAATCCATCGAGGCGTACTTCTTGACGTCCTTGGCGTTCTCCCACTCGAAATACTTCTTGCCATCCTTGGTGTACGCCTCGCGGCCGAAGTGGCAGTAGGCCGCCGTCTCCTGGTACTTGGGCTCGCGAAGGGCCAGCGTCACCGCGATGGCGCCAGGGCGGCAGTCGAACTCAATCTTGAGCACGTTGGTGATGTCCTCGGCCGACAGCTTGCCCTGCTCGGTGCCGTAAGTCTCGAGGAATAGCGACAGCGGCTTCGCGACGCCGATGGCGTAGGAAAGCTGCACCAGTGCGCGCTTGCACAGGCCGCTCTTCACCACGGACTTGGCCATCTGCCGGCAGATGTACGCCGCCGAGCGGTCCACCTTGGTCGGGTCCTTGCCAGAGAAGGCGCCGCCACCGTGGGCGCCCCAGCCCCCGTAGGTGTCGATGATGATCTTGCGGCCGGTGAGGCCCGCATCGCCCTGGGGACCCCCGATGATGAACTTGCCCGACGGGTTGATGTGCAGGTGGGTGTGGTCTCCGAAAAGGGTGAGCGCAGGCTTGCCACTCTTGAGCTTGATCTCTGCGAGGGTGCTCTTGATCACTTTCTCGACGATCTCCTTGTTCATAGCCTCCATGCTGGGTGCAGTCATCTCTGCGCCCGTGTAGCCGGCGCACTCCTTCGTGCGTGTGGCCTTCAAGGGCTCAGCGTGCTGGGTAGAAATCACGATCGTGTGAAACTTCTGGGGCTCCACGGAGCCGTCGGCCTTCTGCACGTACTCGATGGTGACCTGCGTCTTGCCATCCGGGCGCAGCCACCAGAGCGAGCCGTCCTTGCGCACGTCCGTCAGCTTCTTTCCGAGCTTGGTCGCGACCGAGTGGGTGAGCGGCATGCAGTCCTCGGTCTCGTCGGTGGCGTAGCCAAACATGATGCCCTGGTCGCCTGCGCCGACGTCCATATCGTCCTTGCCGACGTGCACGCCGCCAGCGATGTCGGGGCTCTGCTTGTTGATGCGCACCAGGACCTCGCACGTGGTGTCGCTGAGACCCTTGCTGTCCACGCTGGACAGGTCATCCACGTAGGTGTCGAAGCCGATTTTCTTTACCACACCGCGGACGACCTTCTCGTAGTCGATCGCTGTCTGGGTGGTGATCTCGCCCGCGACCATGACCATGTTGTCCTTGGTAGCGGTCTCGCAGGCGACCTTGCTCTTGGGATCGCCCGCAAGGCAGCAGTCCAGCACGGCATCGGAGACCTGATCGCAGAGCTTGTCCGGGTGGCCCTCGTTCACGGACTCCGACGAGAAGAGGAAAGTACGCTCGGTCTTGGCCTTCTTGGTTGCAGGCTCGCCCATGGCTGCGGTCTTCGCACGGTTGTGGGTGCGGCGGTTTTGGGCGAGCGCCCCACCTCAACTTGAGCCAAAATGGCTACGGCGAGTGGGTAATAGAGAGGGAGGGAGAGGAAGGAAAGGGGACAGCCCACGAGAACTCAGAATCCCTATCCCTCTGTATCCGTATCCCTACCCCTATACCGATCCCTAACCCCTTATCCCGATCTCTCCATCATGGCTCCCCACCGTGGCTCACCCGTCGTGACCCCCCCCCCGTGGCCCTTCTCGTAACTGTGTAAAGCTTGTTTGAGATATTCTGCCACAAGGGTTTCATTTTCCTCTCCTCGATCCACAGTGGGGAGGGTCGCGATCAGCATTGCCTTGTCCTCTGGCAGCTCGACCCTCAGGTGGAGAAGCGACAGCATATTCAAGTGATGGACCAAATGTCTCAAAGGTCAACCAACCCAACGCACAGGCTCAGCAATTGGATGAAGGGCTCGCGGATCTGGGCGTGGCGCCGAAATGGCAAAACTTGAACTGCGAAAAACAGCAGCGCATCACTTTGCGAAGTAATGATACCTGGAGCAAGAGAGGCCTCTCAGTCCACCCATTTCCGTCACCGTGCCCCCTGGCACGTTGAGGCGTGGAACAAGGCCAAGGTCTGCCTGGTAGGGCTTTTGAGCGATAATCAAAGACCAAATCCCCCATTCCACACGTGCCCGCTCGAGGATGGTGCACTTCCCACATGGCAGCGAAGGCCTGAACCCTCATCCCGTGCGCGCCCGCTCGAGGATGGTGCACTTCCCAAGCATGGCAGCTGATGCCTGAACCGTCATTCCATGCGCGTCCGCTCGAGGATTGCGTACTTCCCGCTTGGCGGCTGCCTCCTAGACCCTTCATCCCACGAGCACCCGCTCGAGGATCGTGCACATCCAGGCGCTGCTCCCTAGCGCTCCAGGGCCTCCCAAGCCACGATCCCTTTTCAAGAACCATGGGCACCCGTCCTGGACCTCCAAGACGGCCCGTGCAGGCATCCAAGAGCACCAAGATGGCCCACGATGCCTCGAAGACGGCCCAAGATGACCCCAAGGCGGTCGAATATTGCTTCAAAGGCAGTCCAAGATGCCTCCAGGAGGGCCCAAAAGGGCCACACGAGGACCCCCAACGGGGTCCGAAGAAGCCCAAATCAGTGAGTCAACTCAGATTGTTGCATAATGTTCGCATTCTCGCCTGCTCGGGCTGTCGTCAGCTCTAGATTGCCCGATAGGCACCCAAGACGGCCCCAAGACGGTCCCAAGACGGCCCTAGAGGGCCCCCCGTGGGCCCCAAGACGGCCACCTTGGACGGCCCAAGGCGGCCCCACGACGGCCCCCAGACAACCCACCGCACGACCACGAGGGCCACAAGACGGCCCAAGCGGGCCCCAACCCAGCGTAAGAGGGTCCCGAGACGGTCCCAGAGGGCCTCGAGTCATCATCATCAGCATCATCAGCATCATCATCATCATCATCATCATCATCATCATCATCATCATCATCATCATCATCATCAGCATCATCATCATCATCATCATCATCATCATCATCAGCACCATCAGCACCATCACCATCAGCAAGTCCACACTGGCTCCCACGCAGGAGGAGCACGGCTTCGCGCGCGCGGCGGCCCGCCCTTCGCCTGTGCCCGCCGTGGTGCCGCGGGGCCGCGCCCCGCCGATGAAGACGCATGCTCACCAGCTTCTGCGGAAGGTCCCGATCCAGACCCACAGCGTCGGCAGCATGCAACCAGCTCGACGCTCGACCTCTGTCTGGCCTATCGAAGTGTTACGATTGCTGGTCTCACGGGCACGGGGAGAGGACCGCATTCCGCATGTTCGCAAGCTGCTCTACGACCGACGCAGACCCGTGAGCGCACTATGCACCATGCAGCGAATCATTTCCCTTGGCAGCCTGGAGCATGCACGAACAAGAGCGCGGGCTGCGCGATATCACTTGGAGAACGCCTGAGAACTGCGGACAGTTCACGCATAGCAGTCCCTCCTCCGATAGTGGCAGGACGAGGTGGGATGTCTGATGTTGACAAGGGCCCGCTCAAGCTTCGCATCATTGTGGCATACTTCGAACCGATACCGAGAACAGCAACAGCACGCCCGACATGGAGGAAAGGATGCGAGATTGAAGGAAGTGGATTGACGAGCAGATCCGTGGGTGCGCATTTCGGCGCGTCCCTATCATTTTGACAGGTGCTAGCACAGGACTTGGGCGGCGAGGGCAACTACAAGTTCATGGCGGCAGCATCGGGCGTAATAATAATGGCAACGAGAACGAAAATAGCCGAGCCCTACACGACGCATTCTGCACACACGAGCTTGCGGCACTCAAAGATCATGTCAAAAGAGGACCTACTTTCATCGGACATCACGGTGCGACGACGATCGACTACATGATAGTTCCTAGTTCTTTGATCGCCGAAGCCACTTGTCGCAGATGGTTGGCAGCAGCACGGAGAACAAGAAAGAGCAGATTTTTTCTGGATCCCATCCCGATTGGGAGATATGTGCGTATGCCTTGCTGCCACGACAACACAGTACGAGCCCAATGGAACTGGCCAGCTATTTGCAAGCGTCTGCAGGACGGCCACGGCCGCGAGCCCTTATGGGAGGAACTCCACGAAAGACCCGAGCAACACGACGCCGACGTTCAAGAGGTGCGCACGCACCCGAGCCTGGATAGAGATGTGCACATCTTCGTCGCGGCAAGCAGACAGGTCGCCCTCAAGCAGCTGTCGCTACGCACTGAGCGCCCTGAATGGTATAGAACTGCGATGGGGGGAGACTGGACCTGCTCAAGGAATGAGGCGCCTCCAAGCGCTCAGCATTTCGCAACGACGTTTCGGACGCAGCCAGCGACGACGTAAAGGCGATCACCAAAGTACTGCACAAACATATTCAACGTATTCCCGACCAGTCAGATCGAGATTTGGAACATCAGATACGTGAAGGTTGGGCTCAGCGGCAGCTAGCAGATATGGATTAAGCAGCACGGCGGCGTGCTCACAGGGGCATTGGGATACGCAAATGCGGCTACCGATTGTTACCGCATTGCCAACCTTCGCATTCCCGTATTCAGAATGGAGACCAGACCTCTCTCAGCCTGGGTGCGATGGAAGATTTCAAGCGACGGAGCTCGACGACACCTATCTAGTGAAGATGCTAGCCGTCACCTTCGACACGAATGAGCACATCAAACTTCCCCCCAGGCCCGACGGCCCCGCGGTTGCTATTGGAGTCAAAGACCTACTGGCAGGCGATCCGGATTTCAACGCCACACGACGGCAGTCGTGGCACATGAAGCGCAGAAAGTTTTCACCATGCTGGAGTTTACCGACGGAGATTGTTTGATTGTGACGAACCCTTCTTTGTTGAGCAAGCCAGGGGCACAGACGGCGGGGCTCGGCCGTTTCACAGCGTTCGACCCGATGGATCTTGAGAAGCCCCTCGACCCGACGAAGAGAAAGCTCAAGCTCGACCACTTCACCAAGCCCGCGAAGCTGCCCACCGAGATACATGCACTGGCACGTGCGTCTTGGCGCATCCCGAGCCAGGCGAACATGAGCCGGACCCTCGCACTCGATCAGAAGAAGGATGTTCCTGGACCGTCTGGCCTACGTCTCTCGCATTGCTTCTACCCATGGTGGTGCGGTTTGTTTCGGAAGATCGTGAAACACGAAGGAAGACCCTATCACGCACCTGATTGTGCTTACGGAAGCATTCGAAAACGTCGACGAGAAGCTACGATGCGTATTTCCAAAAGTATTGCGTTCAGAGTACGGACTTGCAAATGGACACTGGCGGCGAAGTTCTACGACCAAAGATCTGCATTCCAAAGCGGCAAACCTGAAGATCACCACTCGGCCGCCGAGCCCAGAGCTGTTCAAGAGGAGGACGAGGAGGACGAGGACGAGGACCGAGTAGCCCGCGGAGGACGAGGAGGACGAGGAGGACGAGGAGGACGAGGAGGACGAGGAGGACGAGGAGGACGAGGAGGACGAGGCAACATAGCATGTATTTCGCAAAGGCTGTTTTTCTCCTGGCAGGCAGCGGGGGCCTCAAGGCCGACAGCAACGGCCTGAGATTTTCACAGGCAGCTACTACGAACGCATTGGCGAGTAGACTGAATCCACTCGATCGATATCGAAATTCACCCTGGCCAGTTGCGACATGTTCGGAGGCGCGACGAATGCTGGAATCGGACTCTTCGTAGATGACCTGCTCAAGCTGCTGGCTATACCACCGACGGCCACGGCCACGGGGATACGCGACATCCTCGACCTCGACGCGGAGTGCCTCGACGAGAGTGGTGAAGCGAAGGAGTACACGCAGAATCGCACCAAGGCCGAGATACACGGCGCGCGACGCGGTCTTGGTTGGTAAGATGATGCCCGAGCTGAAGCACCGTGGTGGAATGTTCTCCCCCACTGGCTCCAACGTTGCCGAGCGGGGCGAACGTATCATGGATGTCAATAAGACTTGGAATCAACCCAGTGGCGTTTGGCATTCGAAAGCGGGATGGCGACCACGGAGGCTATTATTTGGAGGCTGCGTCCACAGCGCGGCCACCTGTGGAGGCGAGAGCTACCACTGTACGAAGGCGGATTACCAGGCACTAGACCACAGCCTCATTGGCAAGTTGCGGTCGATGCTTGAGGGTCGGGCCCACACAGAACCACACGGCGCGCATCGATCATGGCCGACCCCCAATGTTTGGAGATATTGGCGACCCACTCCCGTTGCCCTCGAGCTTACTGTGCGACGTCTGTGCTGGTGGCGCGACATGCTATGCGAGATACCCCAACACTTTCACTTTCGAACTGGTTTCTTCTGCACATTGGCGGTGGAAGGAAAGGCCAACCATATCATACCCATTTTGGACGAGGACGGCGTGATCAACCGCAAGACCGACATCCACCCCTGGGCGAAGCAGCTGTCCGACGACATCGAAGTTATCCTGGGTTTGGACATAGCCACCGAGCTGAAAGTGATATGGAACCATCGGAGTGTTCGACGATTGTTCGAGGATGAAGAGTTGCGCGATATGTATACAGCCGTGGACCCACGTACGCTCAGAGCCGCTTTTTCCTCGAA